CCCCCTCCACTTTGGCACACCCCTTACACGTTTCGTGGCCCCATAGGAGCTCCACCGAAGGCCCCAGTGGCATGGTTCGCATGCCGTTCCCCTTCATTCAGCACACCCCTCACACGTTTCGTGGCCCCATAGGGAGCTCCACCAAAGGCCACATTGGCAAGGTTCGCATGCCCCCCCCCTCCAATTTGGCACACACCTTACACGCTTCGTGGCCCCATAGGGATCTCCACCGAAGGCCCAGTGACATGGCTCGCATGCGTCACCCCCCACCTAGTACAGCGTTTCGTGGCCCCATAGGGAGCTCCACCGAAGGCCCCAGTAGCGGAGTTCGCATGCGATTACCCCACGCAATACAGCGTTTCGCCCCATCGGGAGCTCCAACGAAGGCCCCAGCGGCGGTGTCCGCATGCGTTGCCCCTACCAGTACAGCTTTTCGTGGCTCCATAGGGACCTCCACCGAATGCCCCAGTGGCGGTGTCCGCATGCGTTTCCCCAACCTAGTAAAACGTGTCGTGGCCCCATCGGGAGCCCCACCGAAGGCCCCAGTTGCGGTGATCGCATGCGTTTCCCCCACCCAGCACAGCGGTTCGCAGCCCCATCGGGAGCTCCAACGAAGGCCCCAGTAGCGGAGTCCGCATGCGTTTCCCCAATCCAGTACAGCGTGTCGTGGCCCCATAGGGAGCCCCACCGAAGGCCCCAGTGGCGACGTTCTCATGGCCGCCCCGCTCCATTTCGGCACACCCCTCACACGCTTCGTGGCCTCATAGGCAGCGCCACCGAAGGCCCCAATTGCTGCGCCCGCATGCGTCCGCCCCATGTCGGCACACCCTTTACAAGGCTTCTTGGTCCCAATGAAAAACTACCGATGGCGACGCCCACAACGGCGATACTCACAACTGCATATGGTTTGGCCCTTCGCCTGGATTTTTTGTGGCAACCCGGTCTCGCCCGTGAGCAGGGACCGACCGTCCGGGCATTCCTATAGGCCTACCACCCACGAAATCTGCTTAGAACCCCAAACGTGTACTGAGAACAACACCACGTTCTGAAAACATGAGCCCGATGTGTGAACACAGGACAGTATCAGCCAGAAGTGTTCTAAGACCATTTCGAACAGACCATAGAAAAGGTTCTTAGAGCATTCTTTGGTGGGCCTAGTTATAGGCACGCGAGGGCGCTCCGCCACTGCTTGACTCTCGGGCCCCGGGACCGGCAGCTAAACCTTGCGGACGGGGGCCCAGACCTCTGGGGGCCCGCTCATCGAAGAGACTGTCCGAGGAGGGCCAATTGAAGGGCCGTTGTCTCAAACGGCCCTCCTTGGACTCTCGTTCTCCACCCTCTGCTCCTCCCTTCTTCTCCATCGCTCCTCCTCTTCCTCCTCCTGGTTCTCCTGCTCCTCCTCCTCCTCCTCTTACATCTTTCCTCCTCCTCCTCCTCCTGCTCCTCTTCCTGCTCCTCCTCCTCCCCCTCATCCTCCTCCTCCCCCTCCTCCTCCTCCTCCTCCTCCTCCTCCTCCTCCTCCTCCTCCTCCTCCTCCGGGTCCTGGCCATCGCACTCCGCCATAGCCTCTTTCTCGATCTCCTCCTACAGGCTTTCCAAGCAGCACGCACACACATCATGAAAAAGTCGGGTCTATTTCTGGCACACCTGATCATATTAACATGCGACTATCCGAGACGATCCCGCTGCCCTTGCGGGCTGAAGGCGTGCAGCCAATCGATATCTTTTCTAATACGCTCCGTCCACGTGCCGCTCGTCTCCCACTGACTGTCTAACATGCCTCTCAACTGCCAAGGGCCGTACTGAAGCAACCTAGGCAAATACGCAAACCGGCAGTAAATCAAAAGCTGCTCTATCGGAGCACGGTTACATGTGATCAACACTCTCGCATCGGACATACGATGAGCCTGCGGGTGCTTTGGTTCGCCTATGAGTCTCCTATCGGCCTTCATGTAGGAGGCGTGCAGCGCTTCGGAGGCCTTCTACGACAACTGATGCCACACCTCACAGACGTAAAGTAACTTCGATTCCACCAGACTGGTACTGTACTGAAGCTTGGCTTCGATGGCAACTCCTTTCATCCTATACACAGACCTACTAAGCGCTCCCGAGATGCTGTCGGCGGCCTCGCACCGTCTGGCAATTTCCTGTCCCAGGTGGCATCATCGACCAGGCACGTCCCGAGCGAAACCTGCGAACGCACCACCTGCACCTTCACTCCTAGCTCCTGCAACTCGATCTCACCCCCCCTACTCGAGAAAATATCACGCTTCCAAAAAGCCTTCTTAGGCCCGTTGATCTGGACCATCACTTGAGACTTCCCCACCGTGAAACTGATAGACAGCCCATGTGCGGCCGCTCTCTTGACAATCCATGAAAATGCTTTCCATATCCGATACTTTCGGTATCCCCCTCCCCCTCCTCCTCCTCCTCCTCCTCTTCCTTCTCCTCCTCCCCCTCCTCCTCCTCCTCCTCCTCCGCCGCCTCCGCCTCCGCCTCC